GAAATAAAAATTGTAAGATAATTATTTGTGCCAATAAACCTGTTTGGTTGAAAAAAACACTCATTTTAGTTTTCTTGTTTGATTGTTTTTGTCTCCATACATAGATTCCGTGCATAGATTCCTGTTGAGGGTAAAGTACGATAGAAAACCACAACAGAGAAAAACTAAACAATTGTTCATTATTTTCTTATATAACAAAGTATTCTGTGGTACAGTAGGCAGCAGGCCAATCTAACCTTTTCTGTTAAATTTTATAATGGATTTTCAACTCTATCGTATGAGCATAAAGTAGAAAATCCAATGACAAAATTGACACATTGGAGTAACTAAAACAATAAGTACTATTTCTTTTGTATATTTCTTTAGTATAAGTAGTATATTATGCATATTATTATGTTTTCGGCTTACTCAAGTAACTCGACTAGTTTCAAGCCATGGTAGAGGCTCATATTTTTGAGCAGCATTTCGCGACCCGCGACGCGGCGACCGACAGTCGCGCCGCTACTGAGTAGTAGCAGTCAGTGACACTAGCCAGTAATGTTAGGTATTTGAAACGAGGAAGGGTCGATGGCAAATCAGCTGACGAACCACCTGATGGCAGTAACAAGTGCGGCCATAGAGAATTTAGAGAGAGCTAGCAGTAGAAGGGCAGCTTTCCCACATGTAAAAATAATGCTGTTGTAATTTCAAAGTACGTACTTTTTATAGAGACGAATTTGGCAATACAAGTTTAGGTAGAGATATCATTAACGATTTAAATGACCCCCTATTACATGGGATTCATAACAAAAATAGTGAAAAGTGGGTGTTACATTGTACAGTGGCATTAAGTGCCGCAATGCGCACCTCTCTTTGCCTTCGGGGATAAATAGGCGTGATGTTATGTTATATCATTAACAAGTACTTACCTATTGGCGCCACTTAAACTGTCAAACACCAAGCGGTCACCGGTGACCGCAACCTATTGTTCTATAATTGTGTCTACAAAACCGGTACTCGACGAGTTAAAAAGTTGGTTGATTAACTCGTCGAGTACCGGTTTTGAAGACACAATTATAGAACAATAGGTTGCGGTCACCGGTGACCGCTTGGTGTTTGACAGTTTAATCAAACACTATCGGTATGATTTTTGATTGACAGGGTCTGGTTTATTTCGTTTCCATTTAACTCTTACGCGTAATAAATATAATCGATTTGTAAATTAAAAATCTTAAAATCCAGGACTGATGAGTACCAGGTGTTTTATTTTATTCTTGGTACCAACAAACAAAATCAAAACAAAGTCAAAATAATTTATTTCATTTAGACCAGGAAGTCACTTTTGAACGTCAAAACAAAATATTTTAATATTAAATAATAAGAAAAAAATGTAGGTCAGACCTCTAGTGAAGCTATTCGCTCGTTCCAAAGTGTAGATTCCTATGGAGAAGAACGAGCAAGAAACTCCATAGGTTACTCTTTTTCAATCATGTTTACCTCTTACATAGTAAAAGGCGAAATGTTCTATTTAAACGACTTCAAGAAAAGTAGAAGGGTCTCAGTTCGCCCTGTATGTATGTGTGTGTGTTTGTGCGCGATTATCTCGTGACCGGCTGAACGGATTTTGATGCGGATATCAGAAAAGTGTTTGTTAAACTTAGGAGAAGGTTTGAGTAAATAGCCGACTTCCAAAAAAGAGGCGGTTGAACTCGGTTATTTTAAACATCACTACATAGTATAGAACAAAGTCGCTATCTGCCGTCTATCTGTCCCTATGTACCTATGCTTAGATCTTTAACACTACGCAATGGATTTTGATTCGTTTATTTATAATAGACAGAGTGATTCTTGAGGAAGGTTTATATGTATAATAATAGTTGGTATATTTACATAAGTATTGCACCCGTGCGAAGCCGGGGCAGGTCGCTAATAATTTTTATAAAACCAATTCCAGAGGAGAGAGGAGATTATTTCCAGAGGCCTTAGTACGAGTATAATTTACGTTAAAAGTATTCGAAACGAGTACGCTTTCGGCGGTCTGATTGGCCACCACCAATGAACCAACAAATCAGAGAGCCGAACGCGTACTCGATACGATTACTTTAAACGTAAAACAAATTCGTACTAAGGCCTCAGATCGTGTCAAAATATTTCGGTGTGTACTAGGCAATCATAATTGATTGCTGTTGATATTTAGCGTAACCCGAGCGAGACCTAAACTATAATGACCGATAAAGATTATACCTATTATCAATTGAACAGCAACAATATTAGACTAGTTTCATTCTATTAATACATTATCGCATTATCTGCTTCAAAACAGGTTCAAATCTTGATTTGAAAGCGCCACTGCTTAGGGTATGGTGCTAGTGTAAGCGAGAGTTTAAGAATTAATAAAAAGTTTTGTATAAATTGGGTACTGTCCTTAATCAAGAATAAATTATTTAGATTGTTCAATGCAAAAAAATGGTAAAAAATCATCACACTTTCATGAATTGATTTTATGATCAACTTGATTTTAATATTTTTCTAGCAAATTTTTAAGAAATAAGTATGCTGTTTAACGCAAGAAAAACGTGACGTCACAATACACAATCACGTACAAAATTAATAGAAAACTGTTGTTTTTTACAGTTCGAAAAAAGTACTGAATTTGACTAGTTGGCTAGTACCCAACTAGGCGCGCATGCATATGGCGTGAGCACTATGTCGCTCTATTGAGTGATATAATCCAGAGTGATAGATAGTACAGGGATAAAAATAAACGTATATCTTAGCTTATTCTATTACATAAAGCTGAAGAGTTGTCTGTCTGTTTGTTGTTTTTGTGTTGGATAGCCTATTTATCGAGGAAAGCTATAGACTATAAAACATCACGCTGAGATTAATAGGCGCCGAACAGAGTGGTTGCAACCGCACAGAAGTAGGAAAAGTGTGAAATAACGCTATTTAGTGCAGCTAGATGTAGTTTTATCTTTACCCTGTAGGTACACATACACTGTACACAGTTATTCAGAAAAGAATTTCCTTTCTGAACACAGTTCATAATAAAGTAATATACACATCACATCAACAGCCAATAAGTAGCCACCGCTGACCAAAGGCCTCTCCTCACACGGTGAACGTTTGCATTAATCACCACGCTTGCACAATGCGAGTTAGCGATTTCAAACTTGTAATTAGAAACTTTGGAATGAGCGTCACTTTCACTGACGGACAATTCAATTTTTGACATTTCAAAAGTGCCTGATTTTAGATTGAAATAAATGCTATGACTTTAAAACAATAAGCCCAGGTTTCCTCACGATAATTTTCTTCACTGTTTTTCAGTGGCACATATACATAATCTTAGAAAGTACATATAACTCGGAAAAAGTCACATTGGTTCTTACCGTTAGTAGGTTTTGAACCAGCACCCTTGTGCGAAGCCGGCGTCTTAAACCTCCGGGTCACCACGAGTATTTCAGACGAATAGTCATAAAGTAAACTAATTAATAAATTTAAATATTTTAGTATGACACCATTATTATTTATTAATATTTTGTAATTATGTTCGAGAGGAGTGACGCATAGACAGTTGACGTCACAAAACCACCGAGTCGCGCGTCTGTGGTCGATTATCTTGCAGGTTATAACAATAGGTACGTAACACTGAGGCTTCTCAGAGTTAAATAAGTATTTTTTACTGATTGTTTTACTGTTGTTTCGGGTCTGGGTGTCATGTGTGTGTGAAATTGTTTGTTTGTAAAAGCACCAACGACACAGGAGAAAATCATAGTTTCCAACGTTTTTTAACTAGACTTACAGTACCCATTATAGTATAAAGCTAGTAATTATTATCTATATAAAGCCGAAGAGTTTGTTTGTTTGTTTTTTTGATCGCACCTATCTCAGGAACTACAGTTCGATTTGAAAAATGTATTATAAGTAATTACTTTTATGTTGGATAGTCCATTTATCAAGGAAGGATACGCTTTAAATATACGCCGAGAACCAAAACCACGCGGAAGTAGGTAGTGTTCAATATTATTCCTCAGATACAATTTATTTTCGAAACATCAGCCCTTAACAGCATCATAATGCATTTAAAACAATATAACAGTCGTATTCACAATATCTGATGGTACCCGCTGTAACTCGCACCACACCTTTACAAACATTACTTCTGATTTATGAATGTTTACTATGAAAACTCTATTTGTTCTCACTTAAAAATATACCATTATCAACAAATACGTATATATTAAAAAGCTTAGGTATATAACTTACCTATATAAAAAAGGTTATAAAGCTGATTATTGGTCAAGTGTCGCGTGTGTAATGTGCAGATAAAAAGGCGTAATGTTATTATGTTTATGTTATATCGCATGTGCAGAGAGCAAGGACTCTTCGGCTTAATTAATCTCTTTTTTTGAGCGGGAAAATTATCCAAATGACTTTTTCCTCATTAGGTGAAGCGAGAGAGGTCAAAGTCTTACTGACTAAAAACCACCCCGTTCCTACTTCTGCTTTTTAAGCTGAAGCCCCGGCAAACCGTTAAGTCCTCCACGGCTCTGTATCGGCATCAGTCCTATTGGGCCATCTGTAGTATCTCAATATCTGAGTCAAAGTGTCATTGGATATTTTTCAGCTTTTCGATTACACGGTGTTCCTAATAAAAAATGAAAAGTGGGTATCGTTTCTGCCTACCTCTTCTCGGACTAAAACCAGCCTGTCTTAGCATGAAATAATCTTAATACCAGTACTATGAAAAATGCGTAGTAAATAGTAAATACTAATTATACAAATAAATAAAATAACAATTCGAATAAACATTTGTTTTCTCTTCCTCGCGTGAGTTTACAATGAGAATGCAAAATAGTAATCATTCAATGTACTCTATCGATGCAACGCGACTAAATAAGAATGACTTGCAAATTGCTATTGTCTTTATTGAATGCATGACATTCACATATGGTCGGGTTATCTCCCCTGGTCAGGCAGAACGGAGCAAGCGTGTTTAGTGTAATTTAAAGATTTTAAAAGACAGACGTGTATTGCTAATATTTTTAGTAAACAGTTATCGAAAGAAATTCGTATTCATAGTGATTTCGCAAAAAAATATCTGTCAATATTTATGTCTTAAAAATACTATTAATATTAAAATTAAGTGTAAACCTGCCAATAACACGTTATTAATAAATCAGTATTATGTTTCAAAATAATAGGAATACTAAATAATAGTTATAATGTGCTAATTTACAAAATTATATCGTAATATTATCCAGCCATAAAATAACTGTGTGTCATAAATAATATAACAGGTCCTAATAAATAATAACTCATATTAAATAACAGGTCGCGAATAATTGAATAAATAAAAGAACATTTTTTTTTATTAAAATGTCAAATTTAAGTTTCGAACGAGTTGTAATTAGTTCGATATTTAAAAAAGTGTTGAAGATAGTGAGGTGACTATGACGTGGACTAAAGAGTTGGATGAGGCCGCAGTACTGGCCACAAAGACTGGCTATTGGCATGTGGTGCTTTTCTATTTACTCTGTGGACTGGCGGCCATACCAACTTCTTTCCTAGTATTTTCTCAGGTACTGTATTTTTTTTTGAATAAATATACTTGTCATATTGACTAGACCCATGCTATGACGGCAGAACAGAGTACAACATTTCCCACACAATCTTCCCGAGAGAAGAGCCGAATGAAGATTACTGTACACTAAATAGAGAGGGCTCTCTTTGCTGTTATACCTAAACCTTTTTAAACTGCGGTCTCCCTGCCTGTTAGGCGTGGAGATAATGGCGAAACCATCTTATGTAAAAGAGACCCAATCACGTGCGTCATAATGTCTTCCACAGTTGATAGGCCCTTCTGTTAAAGGACTCGGTGTCCCCGTCAGGTGCTCACGGTGGCTACCAGGGTAGTTTTAATAAATAAATAAATAAAATAGCTCTTTATTCAGATCTAACTAATACATAATTTGTTACAAAAAACTGTCACATAATTTAAAATTGCCTAAGATCTGCATTACTTAACTTAACTTACATAAGTGTGGGAGAGCCATGCTTCGGCACGAATGGGCCGGCTCGACCGGAGTGATACCACGGCCTCACAGAAAACCGACGTGAAGCAACGCTTGCATTGTGTTTCGTCGCGTGAGTGAGGTTACCGGAGGCCCAATTTCCCTCCCCTTCCCCAATCTCCCCAATCCCTGAATCCCCAACAATCCTCAAACTCCTAATCCACAAATAGCCGGTAACGCACTTGTAACGCCTCTGGTGTTCTAGGTGTCCATGGGCGACGCCGATTGCTTTCCATCAGGTGATCCGTCTGCTCGTTTACCGGCTTATGCCATAAAAAAAAAAAAAATTGCTAAGGTCTAGTATCTATAAAATACCTATTACTTATTTTCTAGAGACCTGTTTGCCGGTCGGCAAAGGCCTCCTCCAACCTTTTCCATTCATTTCGTTCTCGAGCTGCTCTATGCCATGTAACTCCTGCCACTTGCCTGAGGTCATCATCCCATCTTTTGAGAGGTCTACGTCTACCCCTTTTCCTGGTTCCTTCCCTGGGGTACCAACTGGGTAGTTTTAGTGAGATAAAAATCCCAGGCCCTAACCTTTCTTTCCAATAATCTAGGCGTGTTTTGTAGGGTTCCCTCCATCATCAAAAAAGGCTCTTCTGATAGTGTAGGTAACTAACGAAACGTGCGAAAACCACTCTTCCTATCCCATAATACAATAATGAAGAATATTTCGAAATTATAAACATCATCTGACTGCCTCGTTGGCCAAGTGGTCGCAAGTGCTACTGCCGGGCAAGGGGTCTCGGGGTCGATTCCCGGGTCGATAATATTAATGGTTTTAAAAAAATCTCAGTAGTAGCACGGAGTCTGGAATTGTAATGTATATGGCAATAGGCTCACCCCCTATTACATGGGACTAATAACATAAATAGTGAAAAGTGGGTGTTACTTCTGTGTGTACCTGTGCCTACGGTGTACGGTGTACGTGCCTAAGGTGTGATGTTATGTTATGTCATCTCTAGCAATCATAGGCAGTGGACTGATATGGGCTGTTAATGGCGATGATAAACTCGATTCTCATTTGTCTCTAAATCGCCCGACATTGTTTGCACAAGGACAGGCATTAGACAAAAGGAATATTCAAAGAGTTCATCAATTACTCGCCAGTAAAGTCGATTAGATCAACGAAGGAGGGCAAACTTGTTACCAATAATAAACTGGAATTTATTCTAGGCTCAGAGTCCAGAGAGTCAGCCTCACCTGTTAATTGAGCTGACTGTAAACCGACACATGCGTACTGCCTTCAGAACGGGTCCGCTCAAACTGTTGTGGTTCTTTCCTCAAAAGCCCACTACAGAAAGAACTGGCACGGTTCTCACACATAATCTGTTATACATATTGTCTGGACTTTAAAAGAGACAGACCTCTGAGTTTGTTTCGGCATTTCTTCTCAGAGTAGTCAATTAGGAAATGTCGACCTCATCGTTCGCTTGATAAAATTGACGTTTAAAAGTGCTGCCTTGTAGCCTATTTGCAGAAATAAATTCACTTGTTTCACTTGTTTCACCAGAGACAATCTGACTCCCTCATCCCAAAGGTCAGCAACACATTTAAGACTGCTCTTGGTCAGCAAAGCCTCCTACCCTGCAAAAAGTCAGCAACTCCTTGTCGTTGCGGCGTTGGAGGTCTCCTTGTACAGCACTTTGCGGTTTCTTACCATCTAGAGATGAACTGACATCGGAAAATACTGAAATTAAATTGTAAAATCAAAACCAAACCCAATGACCCAATATTTTGCAAGATACAACTTGTAATTCTAGTATCGACACGTGTTTGATTCATAAAATATTTCTATTTTGTAGATTAGATATAGATTGTGATATTCGTAATTATAATTAATAATTGCACCATTAATTAGTCACACATACTTACAGTTCTGTTGGTATTTGCCACGCCCTAAACTAATTAAATGTAGTCGCGGAGAACCTAACGGGTAACCGGGGCTCCGGCTCGACGTGCAGGAGAAGGTGGTGTTTAATCAGTAAAAGACTGACACTCCGTTCCGCTTCACCTCGGCGGGAGAGGTCATTCGATGATTTTCACCCCTTAAAAAAACAAAAAAAGAATCATACCTAATCTATATACAAATATATAAAAATGTAGGTATATAAAAATGAATCCTTTTTTCCCTTGGTCACGGCATCATACGTGAATGGCTGGACCGATAGCACGAATTCTTTTTTTTAACATAACATCACGCCTCTTTATCCCCGACGGGGTAGGCAGAGTAATACCCACTTTTCACTATTTATGTTATGAGTCACATGTAATAGGGGTTGAGCCTATTGCCATTTACCGGGCACATTTCCAGACTCCGTGCTACTACTGAGATTTTTTTAAAACCCAGTTATACTTTGCCTGACCCGGGAAGCTCCTAAAATTCCTACGGGAACGGGAGAAAACGGGATTGCGCGAAGTCGCGTGTAGATGCTAGTATTACATAGTTACCTACATTCATACTTACTTATATAGGTACAGTAATCAACAAACATTTTTTGCTTACAAAATAAATATCTCATAATATTTGTTTACCAATGTTCTAGTATTAATAGTTTGCGTATGTAAATGACATGATTGGGGACGACATTGATATCCGCCAGCTTTTTATACGAACCTTGTGCTTGATATTTGTCAGGTCACAATCACATGTACCTACGTGACATTATAAAAACGCTAAAATGATGAGGATAACTGTGTTATTTTTAAATGAGATGAATGTATTTTAAACAGTAATGATTGTCTCGCTGGCTGAATGGTCGCAAGTGCAACTGGGCAACGGGTCTTGGGGCAATCCCGAGTCGGGTACAGTATTACTGGGTTTTAAAAAAAATCTCAGTAGTAGCACGGCGGCGTCTGGAATTGTGCCATGGGGCTCATAACATAAATAGTGAAAAGAGGGTGTTATATTTATATTGTACAGTGCCGTAATGTGCACCTCTGCCTACCCCTTCGGGGATAAAAACGCGTTATGTTATGTAATAAACTGTTGATAGACTGACCTAAAAGCGTAATTGTGAATTTGTCTTAGGATTAGAATTTGAAGCTTGTTATGTGATTCTAAAGAATAAAGGGCTCAGCGATTGGTAAGCGATCAGCGTCACCCTTGAACACTAGCCAGACCACCAACTGAGCAATTACAAGTACGTTGCCGGTATTAAAAATGACAATGGAACTTTATGGGACCACCTCGGAGTTGTAGTTTGTACCCTTTCAAACAAAAGAAAAGTTTTGAAAATCGGTCCACAAACGACGGAGTTATCGGTGAACTTAGGTATATAGAAAAAACAACCATTCGAACATAGAGGTAGTACCTCCTCATTTTTTTGAAGTCGGTAAAAAGAAGAATGTGGTGCGATATTTTGAAGAAATGGAAGTACTTGTTGAAGATCTAAAGTACACTCGGTTTGGAAATACAGTTTACTCTATTAGTTTGCTTAAAATTTATAACATTTTTGCGTCTATCTTTCTGGTAAATACAACAAAATCTGTTCAGTCGTTTCGGAGGACGAGTGTCACACTCCCAAAGCAGATACCGAAGGCAAAGATACCAAAATTTCCACTTTCCACCAGTATATAAACCTTTGAGAAACATCAGTATATTTACAAACATTCACTAATTGTTATCAGTCATTTGTAAATTATTAAGAAGTACAAGATTCAAGGCTGTTTTAATGATAAATGAAACGAAAACAACCCGTTCCTTATGAAAATAATTCACGCGCCACTAAAATAAACACAAAACAAAGATTACATTGATTTGTTTTGAGATTTATTACCAACTGTAAATATTGTTACATTGAATGTTTACTAACAAATGCCGATTGAGAACAACTCATTTATTTATGAAGCACAGTTCAATCACCGTTTTCTTTATTTATAAACTAATTGTTCTCCGCGACTTCGTACGAGTATAATAATGACTTCTGGCAAATTTTGTATTTTTTAATTATTCTTCTCCAAGGTTAATCGCAATAGTATGTAACAGATCTCATCAGAATCAATTTAGTTAGGTATATTTATTGTAAAATGTTGTGCATTTTCCAGATTTTAAAGAATAAACAATCCCACGGGGATTTTACCCGTGTAGTATCCATTCCCGTGAGGTTTCAGTGATTAAAACTACATTTCCTCGAATCCCATGGTTTAGTAATTTTGAAGCTAGCCGTAAGATTATAATAACATCTTTTAGAATTCGTTCCGGACATATGCCACTTAGAGCCTTTGCTTTCCTCATGGGAGTTGTGGACTCTCCGAATTGCTTAGTGTGTATTAATAAAGTAGAGGATGTATATCATCTCCTGATGGAGTGTGTCAGAAATGAATCTGAAAGGAGCAAGTTAATTTGTGAACTTAACATAAATACGTTAGATTTAGGTACATTTAATGTAATCTTGGGTCAACCAATGTCACCTGAAGCTATATTGGTGTATTCATTAGTTACCTTGTAATTGTGTATTTGTTAGATAAGGTTTCGATGGAACTGGTGTAACAATTTGTTAAAAGTT